CTTATCCAAATCAATCTGCCTCATCACTTTATCCGACTAGTAGCATCCTATTTATCCAATATATATATATATATATAGTCAGTTGACTGACTTGATTCTTCGTCCTTTGATCAGTAGAACTCAATCCAAATATAATATTTCTTATTTCTGAATCAAAACAGATCCTGATTTTGGTTTGGTTCGAAATAAAAATTGGTCATTGATGTTTGTGTCTGGCCAGTGATAAAGATAATAAATCAATTGAAGGATCAAATTGTATGTATGATTCAATTTGATGTGGGCAATATTATTCGTACTTAAAGATAAATGAATGATTGACGTTTGGCCTGTTCACATCCAAACCTTCCCACCAAAGTTCTTGCTGAAGGATAGTTCACATTTTTTAATTTCCACATTCATAACGCTTTCATTTTTTGCTAACTAGGTACCATATGAGTTTGTCAATCCATTCTGGAATTACAATGGACCTCAGAGTTTCTATTACTCGAAATAAGACACACACATTACTGAGTTCAAGTTATTTCTAGGTGAGTAGATAGATGAACCAGACATCTATATTTCCTTCCCTGCATTTAGCGTCGGCAAGACATGTAAATTGAACTTTTGAATCTTACAGTTGGAATTATTCCCGCTACGAAAGAACTTTGTTTATATCAGTCTAATTTAGTTGTACTCCGGATATTGCTTTGAGCAAATAGATAGTGACCGTCAGCAAATTGGCACATCCTCATTGTAAACTGTAAATTCAGGTACTCAGTCAAGCCAAGTACCTCTATTAGTAAGAACCAGAAATCAAGAAATGGGTAACTCTAACATATTTTGGAAAAAGAACAGAGATAATTGCGGGTTTCTTCAGAAAAAACAATGTGGACATGCCAGGATATCTCATTTCCTTTTCAATGCCAAAGACAAGGTCGACAAGTTGGAAAAATCTGGAGTTTATAAGCTTAAGTGTCCGGAGTGTAATAGTGTTTATGTGAATATGAAAGGTCCTCCAGACTATGAAAAAATTATTCGACTTTTTCAAACCATTCCTTGGCACGCAACCACAAGTTTCACAAGCATAAACATTGGGGGTGCAACCTGTTAAATGACCAAATCGATTTATCTACGTTTTGACTCTTCATCATGGTTTAGTGATTTTACGGACAACGTAACTTCAGTACCGTCAACGTTAACAAGACGTTCCTCATCAGAATTGGTAGGTTTTTCAATATCTTTGTCTTGTTCTTCTCTTTTCATTTCATCTTGTTGAGAAACCTTCAAATTACCATATTGGGTGAAAGATTTTGAATAGCTTCCACACTCAAATAATCTGTCTCCAGTATGTTTCCTTTCATGAATTTTCAAGAAACCATGTCGAGTGAAAGATCTTGGACAAACCTTACACTGAAACGGCTTTTCGTCAGTATGACTAGAACATATTCCAGAGTGGAGCGGTTTTTTTTTCGGCATTTATCCGGTATATTACCCCAGAATTTATTCTTAGTGTCAATTGTATAGAAGGATGCGAAAAAAGAAGCTTCACGTCTTGTATCATATTCTGAGTTTGGTATGAGAAATTTTCTTCATTTACAACCTCACACTTGAGATTTTCAATTTTTATTTTTCTGTGTTCACCGATGCTTTTATCATCGTTGCCATCCATTGAGTTTGAGTAAGTGGAGATATCAGTATGAAACATTTTTGCTTCTTGCGGTTCAATTTTCACCAAGTAACAACTATCAATAACTCCAGATTCATCAAATGATTCAGCTTCTTGTGATTCAGTTTTCAGAAAATTCAATTCGTAATATATTTTCGAAACAATATCGATTGAAATCTCAGTCGTCATTTCATTGGAACCACTAGCCATTGTCGAATTCTATGGACATTTTACAGAACACACAGATACCTTATTTTACAAATGTATCTCTTTCAAAATTCTCTTGACAGCAATACTACGTTCACAACAGTCAGTCACAACTGACTTTTTCTCTTACCTGTTCCTTTATTTATATCGAACTAAATCGAATTCAAATCGTTATTACAGCCAATCAGAAATCAGCTCAAGTACATATATGAGAGGTAACGATATTCACTTGATTATGGTGATTCAATGACATTAATTCAATTGAAGCAACAAGTAACTGAATTTCATTGCCTGGAATGGATTGAGAACAATAATTCCATTCCTTATTATTTTTCACAGGTTTTCGTCTCAATTTCAATTTATGATGAAATTTCATTTCATCTTTCTTCCACAATCGTTATCGTGATTGACTAGTTTTTCTATCATTCAAGTTTATTCGTCCTTCTAAACAAAGTTAATATATTTCATAACAGATGGTGCTAACATCTGTCATGCCACTTTGTTCTCAGAAAATCATTTTCTATATCAGTACAGTTCCCATCATCGCTTAGCCAGTCAAAGGGCACTATTCAACTTCCTGAACACCAACGAATTCCTCCGTGGACAAATCACGGAATTAAAAGTCAACTTTAACAAAACCGCCCTACTAAAAACAGACAACTGTTCCAAATCCGCGGAACAGCTCCAAAAGCAACTACGTGACCGCACCGGTCACGTTGCCTTCAAAGTGGTCGATTTAAGAACACGAAGCCCACAACCTACGGCGCCGAGTGAACCGCACCTATCGTTCGTGATTAGGGGTGTACACCTCGACTTCACGATCGAGAAAATAAGCGGCTTCCTGAAAGCCGCCAAAATTGAGGTCATTAAACTCTGGAGGATAACCTCCAAAAAAACATCTAAACCCATCCCCGTTATTCGCGTCATCACCGCGAATAAAGGACAATACACCGGATGCCTGACTCACGGTGTCAATATCTATGGCCGAACGCATGAATGTGAGGCCTCAAACATTAATCCATTACCCCGCATTCCAAAATATTGCAACATTTGCAGTGAAACGGGACATTCAGCCGCTGAATGCCCCACTCATAAAACCAAATGTCCCCACTGCGGTGAGGCACATCCAGCAGCAAAATGCACCAAAACCTCTAATCCCAAATGCCCCAACTGTGAAGGCGACCATCCAGCCTTTTCTCTAAAATGCTCCAAAAGGGTCAAAACTCCAGACATCGAAACCCCCAAAACCATTTCTCCCATCTCTCAGCAAGTCCAAGCTGTTATAAAAATCCAGACAACGCTCCTTCTCAATCTCATGCCCACCATGAGATCCGAAATCCTAGCTCTCACCAACGAGCTATGTAAAACCATTTTGGGACACACACTCTTCGCCACGGCTAGTGGCAATAAAGTGGACTATACGTTCACCGATTTGATGGCTGAACTAGATGGCTGAGTCTCAAATAATACGGGATAATGGGCGTTTAATCCTCGGTACAGTAAACGCCCAGGGCCTCAACAGAAAAAGATGCCACACCAAAACACTGCTCCATATCCATAAAATCCATATCCTATGTATTACCGATACACTGACCAAAAATCCTCCCAACTTCTCCGGCTTCAATACAACCCACCGTCCAAAAGACCCTCACTCTCGAGGCATCGCTATCCTAACAAAACGAGGACTTCCCCACAAACAACACACCCTTCCTCCTAACCTAACCGAACTCGACTGCCTAGCGATAGATCTTCTATCTAACACCGGCAACATAACTATCATAGCCCATTACAATCATCCAACACAAACTCTTTCCAGAGACTTAATTGAATATGCATCTTCTCTCCCTAAAGCATTCCTAATAGGCGATTTCAACTCTCGCCACACCCAATTCGGAGATTCCAACTCCAATGCCAACGGCCGTCTACTAGCCAACCTACTTCTAGAATACAACCTTTATAGAATTCCCTGCCCCGACCCGACGTTTCTGAGTCACCGGGGGGCCTCTATCATCGACCACATCTTGTGCTCTGAGAGCCTGATAGAGACGGTCGATGA